GTACATGTCGAATTATATAAATGTAATACAATTTTTCGAAATGATTCTACATTTTGTAATAAATCAACTATGTATAAATGTATTAATTCATCGAAATGCATATCAAACTATCGTCTTTTAGATGGTATAAACGATTGTGATTATGGAGATGATGAACAATGGACAATATTCAATGATCTTTCTTTTACAAGGAAATCGCAAACACATTTCTACTGTGCTGAAACAAAAAAGTACATTTCTCGAAAGTTGATTGGAGATGATCTTTGTCAATGCTATGTTGAATTCTACGAGATATGCGAAGATGAATTATTATTTATCAAGCATGTTAGAGAACATATATCATTTCCATCCATTTGCAATGGTATTATTGATTTGATACCTTTGAATGTAAGTGGACGAAACGAAACAGACGAAACAGAATGTGAACAATGGTCTTGTAATAATAGTTACACTCGTTGTAATGGACTATGGAATTGTTTTGATGGAGCTGATGAAGTTGATTGTTATCCAACATCGCTAATACAGTGTCCACCACAGAATCATGTATGTTTTTCACCTGAAACAATCGAATTAATATGTCTCGCTAAAGATAAAGGAAATAACGGTCATATCGATTGTCTTGGTGCTACCGATGAACCACAATTATGTAGAGAACATATCTATTCAGTCGAGGAAGCTGGATTTTATTATGTATCTGATGGCGTAGAATATTGTGCTTCCCGTTATGGCATATGTAGTGAAGGAGGAATAAACTGCAACGACAAAAATAATGAGACATTTTGTAACCGTACCGAATCCTTTGATTTTGCTCGTGTCGATGAAATCTGTAACGAAAAGAATACCCCGAATCTATCAGATATGGAACAACTTTTATGTAATCTTTTTATATTTCAAGTTGTACCAAAAATTACGCACTTCTCTCTAAATGAAAAGACAAAATCAAGTAACTCAGTAACAAAAGACAATGTCAACACAGTGTCTATCTCGCAAATGGATCTTGAATCATCGGTACACTGTCATCGAGGTCTCGATTTACGAGTTTGGTCAGACATTAATGAAAATTTAACCAATCTTACATGTCTTTGTCCACCAAGCTATTATGGTGATACGTGTCAGTATCAAAATCAACGTGTTGGTCTTACAATAAAATTTCAAGCATTTTTTGATTCTTGGCGAATACCA